CACCCCTCTGCCGGCCTCACCCCACCACGCCCCGCCTCGCCCGCACCTGTTCCTGCGCCGCCCGCAGGTGGTGTGACTGCTGCTTCCCTGGCTTCCAGGGCGCAGAGCCTGGAGGGGCCACCAGGAGAGGATGCGGAGAGACCTGGGAAGCGCTTTCCGCTTGGAGGCCGCCTGAGTCCGACCGTCTGCCGAGGGCGGCTCGGGTCCCGCGCGCGCATATTGGCCCTGAGCTTCCCAAACTTGGTCCTTCGGTTCCCACGCAGCCCCAGCCCCAGCCTGCACCCGGGGACTCCTGGACCACTCCCTAGAGGAGGACAGCCCAGCGCCTGGTTTCTGTGCGCCCACCTGGAGCGCGCTCAGCCATTCCAGACGTGGTGGTTCACCACCACCCTGAATGAACGGGAACAGCATCTGTTGTTGGAGTTGTGTGGTTACGTACCATCCCCTGGGAACTGATCCAAAGCTGACCCTCTGAGGGGTTTTCTGAGGCAGTTAATCACGGGGGAGGAGATTGTCCATCATTCTCCCACGGAGCAGCTGGTGGGTTCGAACCACTTACCTTTGAGTTAGCAGGCAGCTCTTTACCCACTTGGCCACTGGGTCATCCTTCTTGTCAATAGTGTGCAGATTTTATCCTTGACCAAGAGGTAAGGAGTTGTGCTGCAAATCCAAAGGCAAGCAGTTTGAATCCACCAGCTGCGGGGATGAGTTATCTCCTCCCAGACGATTTACAGCCTGTGAACAACCCACTGGAGAGTCAGCTATGAGTCGGTTCTGATCCCACAGCACGCAACATGTGGACTTAGGTCTCTGTTGGCACAGATGGTTTGTCCCGTCCATTAACCTACTGACCTGTCAGTTCTAACTCATCCAGGGACAACGTGGAAGAAAGACCCAGGTGATCCGCTTCCATAAAGAATGTTGCTGTCAGGTGCCATTGAGTTGATTCTGACCCTTAGTGACCCCTCAGGACAACAGAACAAAACACTGCCCAACCCTGCCTCCTCCTCTTTGAAGAGGCCAGTGGTTGTTCTGCCTGAGCCCTTTTTGCACCAACTGTGTCAATCCATTTCACTGAGGATCTTCCTGGTTTCTGCTGTCTCTCCCCCTTACCGAGTACGATGTGCTTCTCTAAGGATTGGTCCCTCCCTATAACATGTCCAAAGGGAGACAAGATTTCACCATCATCACTCCTCAGGAGCAATCTGACTATACTTTTTCCAAGACTGATGTGTTCATTCTTCGGGAAGGCCATGGTTTATTCAATATTCTTCACTAACACTGTCATTAAAATGCATCAGTCCTTCATCTTTCATGTCTATTGTCCATCTTTCCCCTGAGGATGAGGAGAGCATGGTCGAGTCAGGGTCAGCTTGTCCTCAGCTCGATACCTGTACCTCTGAACACCTTCCGAGGGCTTTCTCACCTAATTTCCTAGTGCAAAACATCAGTGACTTCTTGACACCTGTTTCCATTGACATTAATTACAAGTTCAATTGAAAATGAAACCAGATTTGTTATTTAGGCCATGGCATATGTGGGGAGTGTTCTTTGCTGGCACCACACAGTTCAAAGTCATCAAAAGGCACATCAAAGGCATCAATTCTTTGATCTTCTAATTCACCGTCCAACTTTCACATGTGTATGAAGCAAGTGAATACAGCATGGCTCGAGTCAGGCACACTTTAGTCTTTAAAGTGGCATCCTTGCTCTTCATCATTTTAAAGCTGTCCTTGGCAGCATCTTTGCCCAGTGCGGTATGTCTTTTGATTTCTTCATTGCTGCTTCCATGAGTGTTGATTGAGGATTCAAGAAAAATTAAATCCTTGATGCTTTCAGTCTTTTCTCCATCTATCCTGATGTTGCTTATTGGACCTTTTGTGAGAAATGCTGTTTTTCTTGAGGTTGAGGTAAAATCCACACTGAAGACCACAATCCATAGTGTGTGTGTGTGTGTGTGTGTGTGTGTGTGTGTGTGTGTGTGTGTATAACAATTTTTCTTGTTTAGTGGGAGCCTCAGGTCCTCTTCACTTTTGACAAACAAGGTTGAGTTACCTACACATTAGATTGTAGATGAGTCTTCCTCCCATCTTGATGCCACATTCTTCTTTATGTAGTCCAGCTTCTCAGATTGTTTGTTCAGCATGTTGTTGTTGTTATATGCCATCAAGTTACCTGTGACTCATAGCAACCATACGTACAATAGCCCTGAAATCTGTTCGATCCTGTGCCAACCTTACTGTCTCTGATAAACCTACCCCCATTACCGCAATCACTGAACCAATCCATCTCATTGAGGGTTTTCCTCTCTTTTGCTGTCCCTCCACCCTTCCAAGCATAATGGCCCTCTCCCAGGACTGGTCCTGCCTTGCAATATGCTCAAAGTATGTCAGACAAAGCCTCAGAATCCTTGCCTCACAGCAATAGCCTTGTCTCACCCTCTCCAGGACGAATCTGTTTGTTCACCTGGCAGTCCATGGTATATTCAATACTCTTCTCCAGCATCACAGCTCAATGGCATAAATTCTGTTTCTATCCTCTCTAGTCATTGTCTAGGTTTTTGTTTGTTTTCTTTCTTTATTGTCCAGGTTTTTTGTGTGTTTTTTTTTTTTATGCATAGCAAGAAATTGGAAGACTATGGCCTGGATCAGGCGCACCTTAGTCTCGAGACTGACGTTGTTGCTCCTCAGTACTCTGGAGAGGTCCCTGACAGCTGAGTTTTCCAAACCAATTCATCTCTTGATTTCCTGGCTGCTGGTACCAAGAGTGTTGATTGTGGAGCCAAGCAAACCAAAGCTGTTAACAATCTTATTTTCTTTGTCATCTATCATGATGCTGCCAATCAGTCCAGACAGATGGTGAAAGATATGACCCCGACCAAGGAAAAATATGTAAAAATTACAGCCAAGAAAAACATGTGGGTCAATTCCACCACACAAGACATGAGATTACTAAAAATAAGAGTTGACTCAATGGCGGTGATCTGGGTTTGGTTAACAGCTCTGCTTTAAGTGACAGCACATAGTGGAGTCTGGCTTTTGGGGGTGGATTGTTTTGGTGTATGGGCTTTTTGCTGGGTTTTTTTTTCAGATTTAAAATCTCTGCCTTTTTCTCTGAGAGTGTTGTTGTTGTTATGTGCGGTCGAGTCGTTTCCGACTCATAGCGACCCTATGCACAACAGCTCTAAACCCTGCTCTATCCTGCACCGCCTCTGACACACCCATCCCG